GCAACCAGGAGAAAAGCAACAAAGTCCCCAATCCCCCAACCTCCGACCTTGAGCCACCAAGACCTATGACATGAAAACCACTCTGGCTTAGAACCGACACATACATACGTGTTTGAATATGTATACCTCTGTGTATGTGTGTGTGTGTGTGTGCGAGTATACTGTGTGTGCACACACACATACACACATAAACATATATACATAGACCTATATGTACATGCACAAGCCTTCAAATCTAGAAGAAAGCAGATGTAATCAGCTTCGTAAGCCTTATCAGCCTTATCAAACCCCGCGATTCACACTGAAGGGTTCGGCAGGTGCAGCTTGCATATTTGGTCCCACCCTGGTCACTGCGCGAACATTTGCACCTGGACTCGGCTACTTGTTAGCAAAGGCAAACTCAATTGTCGACTCTGCGGGTCTGGGTTTTGGGCTGTTTGACATGGGCTTTCCGCTTGGTGTCGGGCTTTGCGGTGCAGAATCTTCCCGGGTTTATGATGAGGGTGAAAGGGATCCCCTTCAGGACTTTATGTACGTAGGACGTCGGCGGGTTTACCGAGACGAACATCTGTGTCCTCTTTCCGAGCTCACCACCCACATGGGGACCTGTGAAACCTACATCTCGGACGGTGAATGAAAGCTTCCAGCCCCAAACCCGATGCGCCCGTCGAGGACCCGAGGCCATATTATAGCCCTCATGAAGGAACCCTGCGCCCTGAACACAAAACCGCAAGCCTCAAACCCCGCCGACTTCTGCGAGAAAGTCTTAAGAGCGCTGAGCCCGGATCCCTGGACCCCACACCCAAACCCTAAGCGGGAAAGGTGCCTAAATCCTCTGGTCCCCTGGTGAAAGGAGAGGTATCTGCCACGCGACGACACACCCATGGATCCGGAAGTTTGTGCCATTCTCAAGGGCCTGGAGAGAGCGTCTCGGTCGTGTTTAAAGCAGAAGCCAAGTCCCTACTCTAGCCCTGTAGCCCTGGGGCGTGACAACCCTAAACCCCCACAGCCCTGAACCTCAAACCCCAAACCTCTGAGTTTCAAGGAAGTGAGGTCTAAGGCGCTGGGCTCACTCTGAGGGTGTGATAAGTTCGGGGTTCCAGATCTTTTTAGGATTGAGGGTATTTATATAGTACATAGCGTACATGACTTTTTGTTCGTGGTTTCAGAAGTACACCCCAAACCCCGAACCCTGAGCCCTAGAAGCCCCAAGCCCCCTGCGCGAACCGAAACGTCCGAGAGTATGGCATTCCCTCAAGCATTAAACCACCAAGCCCCCGGAAGTCAGTGCCAGTTTTCCGCACGCCAGTCCCCAAATCAAAACGTAAGTACAAAGAAGACAGGGTTTAAGGTTTCAGGATTTTGAAACTATAGGATTCAAGGCTTAAAGCTTATAGGGTTGAAGGGAGTTCCTGATCTAAGGGGCTTCAAAGCCTGAACCTGGAGTCCCCCAAAATTCCGCTGAGCAATCCCACCTTAGAAGGTCTCGTGTATATCCGATCTCCGGTACCATCCTCGCGCAGTCTCAGAACAAAAGTGTCTGGTGCCTGCCCCTACAGAACCTAGTTGCGTCTGTTTCTAGCCGCTGCCTGTTTAAATTATTGCTCAGATACAGGATAAAGCTACGGACTTGTAGGGTCTAAGTAGGGCTTCTAACTTTCTAGACCCTAAACCTTAAACTTCTTAAAACTTATAAATCCTAAACTCACCTCAAAGACCCCATTGCACTTTACAAAAAAATCTCACCCCACATTCTCAGTGCCTCAGAGTCAGGCACCGGCACTCCAGAACTCGAGGCCCTCCTCTCGCGCATCGCCCACACGCCCTGGTGCCTCTGCCTGAAGGAGAAGCTTTGACTCACCTGTATAGTAAACCCAAAAAAGATGGAAACCTGATAAAGGACAAATAGTGCTGGGATTCCCTATGCATTACTCTTACGCTCTCCTATTCTCTTAAGGACTGAGGCTATTGGGTTTCCAACTTTTGGGCTTCTACTACAAGGGTTCCTTTAAGGGCTCTTCTAGGCTACTATAACAGGGTATGTTTCAGGATCCCCTATAGTCTGCCTACACTGTTTAGGGTTTAGGACTAGGGTCTGTTTTGTTGCAGGGCCTGGTCCTAGGACTCCCCGAAACCCGGAGCCTAATCCCTGATTCCAACATCGATCGCAGCTCTGACCCCCCATGCATAATAGCCCTCAAGGTAAGAACCAGGCCCAAGGAAGCCTAAATCTTTCGCCCTGACCCTAGGCTTTAGATGTTTTAGGGCATACTTGAATCCCACATACCCTACCTTTTTCGGGCTCCTCCTTCTGATCTCCTTTACATACATCCTCAAAAAGCTTATGAGGTCTGAGTTTTCAGGCTTTAAGAAGCCGAAGCCAGGCTCTGCCAACCGATTCTGCGCTAGCGACTTCGACTCCTTTGTGCCCGCGGTGCATGCCCCCCGAGGCAGGTCTTAGGGGTTGTTAGGGGTTTCCGAAAATAGGGGACCCTAATATAGTACCCTAAATAGTAGGATCCTTCTTATAAGGACCCCAAAACAAGGTACCCCTCATTTTCGGAAACTCCCATTTAGGGGTTGGGAGTTTGTAGCCCCAAACCCGACAAAATAGTAGCTCTGATTTCTTCTGTAGGGAATCGACCCAAAGCAACAGGTGTTTGGGATCTCCAGGTAGAGTGTGCAGTTTTTTGTTGAGTTGAGGGTCTAGTGTAGTATTCTCGGGATCGATGTCGATATCAAGGGAGGCGTCTAGTAGAGGGGCCTGATTGATTAGCAATGATATGCCGTGGGATTCGCCCTGGAGTCCCGCAGGGTTTGGCGATTTGGGTTCTTCGCAGTTTCTCGCACTCACTTTTTGTTTGAACGGTGGACGACCAGTCGGACCCACATTTGATGTGGTTGATTTGGTGCGTATATAATAGGAGCCTTGCATTCGCTTCGCATGACACCCACAAGCCCAACGGCGCTAAACCCTGAACCCAAAACCACGCTAGACCACAATGCTAAGCCGAAACCCTAAACCCCATCTTACACCCAACACCCTTCGATTTGACTCCCCTGCCAAGAAATGTGATGTAACCCTTTAGTATAGAGTTTCAGGTGGAGTCAGCGGACTCAAACCACAGCTTACAATTCATGTAGACCCTGATCATAGCGAGCCCCAGCCGAACTCGAACCTTAACCCCGCTATCAAAAAAAAGGAACCAAACTGGAACCGCCAACCCCTGCCCCGTCCCCGAAGGAGGGAGGGGAATTGATTCATCACGGGTCCACGCTTCATGCATGTTACTTGTCTCGTTACGTAAAAGCCGTCCCCGAAAGATTATGCGTTCGAAGATGCTACGCTAAACCCTATGACCCTAAAACGCCCAGTCGTCAAACGCAGAGGCCAACCGTTTTCTCTGGTATCGCGCCAGGCTGTGACAAAAGTGATTTGACTCCTCGCTTCCATTACCTGCGAGGGTTCAATTTTCAAACTTTGAAATCCAGTTCAAAAGAGGAATCTTCAACTTGAGCACCCAAGCCAGATAGTTGAACAAGCTCGGTAGGTTTTCAAATTCACAACTCATCAGAGGGACTACGCTAAACTGCAGAGGTGGTACAACTCGAGCTACAGCTTAGACCCAGCTCTAAACCATCCTAACCCCCGAAACTCCTAAACCGTAGGTGGCAAGGAGCACAAAGAAGAGAAGTCACGTGAACCTGCAGACTCCCCCTACCCTCCGCCCAACCAAAATTCATTCCCCTGTGTTGGGAAAGGTCTTTTCACTGCTGGAGGCCATCGAATGCGGCGTCACTTGGTCAGTGCCTCAATGTCTGATGGAGAGCAGCTCTGGAAACATTGGGTGGTTTTTTTTGTTAGGGTTGGGGATTCTAGACTCGAGGACGTAGGGTTTTAGAGTTTATGATTTGGGTCGGCAGGTGTTCATTTCCGAGTCATAGGGTTAGAGGGTGAAGGGTTCTAGGGTTTCAGGTTTAGGTCCGTTTAGGTATGAACTCTCTGTAGAATTTTCAGGTTTAAGGTTGGGGGTCGAATCTTGAGATCCCGGGTTCAAAGATGACTTCTAGAGAATCTTCTGAGAGGATGAGGATCTGAACCCACCTCACACGCCAAGCCTACCCATTCGGTTGTGCTTTGTGCATGCAGGATTTGACATATGGGAGTTTCCGAAAATAGGGGACCCTAATATAGTACCCCAAATATTAGGATCCTTATTATAAGGACCCCCAAATATTAGGATCCTTATTATAAGGACTCCAAATAAGGTACCCCTAAGTTTTGGAAACTCTAAACCCTAAACCCTCTAAAGAGACCCTTATAGATCCCTTTAAGGAACCCTTTAAGGATCCCTTTAAAGGTACCCCTAATTTTCGGAAACCCCCATATGGAGTCGGATTGAGGGCTTTTTTTGGCTCTCTGTCGCGGCTTGGAGCAGTAGGTTCCTAACGAGGTGCACATCGATTACAGTAGAAGCCAGAAAGTTGGAATATCATTATCGTAACCCCTTCAAGGTAAATTATAGGGGATCCTACCATTAATCCATATTCCAACTTTCTGGAGTTCCCTTTAGACTACCGTGCTACCCCCCCCCAATCTGAGCATGGGATGTTGGGTATTGAATCTCTTCACATAGTCGGGTGGATTTTCAATCCAAATCGTTGTTTCTCTAGGCTTTCGAGCCCTTGGTCCACGGTATCGTGCTTCTGCGGCTTAGGGTCCCATCCAAGCTTGGACTACCTTTCGTTTTTGCCTTACACAATGACAAATCTTCCAAAGAAGGTTACTCTTCACGCTCTAAGCCACAGATCCCGAGCCCGAAGTCAAAGCCGCAGGCCCTAAACTCTACAATCGTCCAGCGAACGCAACAAGGAGTTCAACAAAAAGATCCTACTAACCCTGAACCCATCCTCTTAAGGAATTCGGATGGGGCAGACATAGAAAGGAGCTCCAACAACAGCCCTAAATCCTCAGGTGACCCCGAGCCCGACATTGTCAAATCCGGATAGTCCGGCTCGAGCGCGGACACAGACCCCGACTCGACCCGAAGGCCTTTGACGGTCCACAGGATTCTTCAAGATTTCGGGTTCATATAGGATCTATACTATTTGGGCGGGGGAGGTCCTTATTATAACCGTAGTATAACATACCCCCAAACCCTATTCTAGTAATTAAGGCCTGTATATTAGGCTTTCAGGTTTCGTCTTTACACTTTAGGCTTTAGGCTGCTTTCCGCAGGCTTCACATGGGGATTTGTTGGGTTCCTGTTTATACCCACCAATACCGCTTCCGAGCGCAGCATGGAGGCCTCCAGGGCTTGCGTGAAACAGTGCCAGGCACGCACCTTCAGCTCATATCGGTCTGCGCAGGGGTTTCGCGACACAGAACATCCCACGCACTCCGCATGTTTCTAAGTTTCAGGTCCAAATCGCACTAGGTGTTTGCTAAGTTTGACCACTCTCCAGTCAGCTCAGCCACGTCAGCCCCCTCGGGCGCGTTAAAGTTAAGACTATGCCTCAATATGCCCCACAGCCAGAGACCCTTCTTTCGGCAGGTTAGTTATGCTGCTATCAGTCTAGCTGGTGCAATTGCCATCATTGCTCCTGTTGTCACATCTGGTGTCGCCCCGCTGTTGTCGCTACAGTTTCAATTATCGCAATGAAAAGAGTGTGTTGATTTGGAATTAAAGCGTGTAGGAACAGTTGGTCTCAATTGTTGGCTAGTAATGATCGCTGTCTGATGATGTTTGTTTGGTTTAAGTATTGTTTTCATTTTCGCCTGTGTTGCACTGGTACAGTAGCATCATAAGCAGCTGTCGCGACAGGACTAAGTAGGTCGGTTGGTCTTGCGGCAGGCAACGAGCACACTGGCCACCTGTGGTTGTAGCCAGAAACAGAGATGCATACTTATGATTATGTACTTGCAAACACACGTAGACACAAGCACTCGTGACATTATGCGAGCGTGCATGTACTGCATTGGTGATATTCAAATTTGATTGAGTGGAGAGGTTCCAGACCTGGATACCACGCGGCATTGGGGACCTCCATGCTGTGCCCCTCGACGGAAGCTGGAACACCGTAGTTGATGTCGCGGTCAGGATGAGGAGGCGTAGTCGGAGTAGAAGTAGTCGTCATTGTCGTCGCGGTTGAAGACCCAGTCATAGCCGTGGGCCGTAGTCGTCATCGTTGTCGTAGCAGCAGCAGTGTCGTTCCTATTGTCCGTGTTATTGTGTCCAGCTCTTTTTTTCTTTTTTCGCTGCCATCGTCTTCGTCGTCATCATAATCATACTTGTCATCAGCACAATCCATCATCAAAGCCATGCAGACTTATCAAAGGCACTTGTTGTATGCGGCATTTCCGCGGCCATCGCTCTGTGCTTCGTCAGTCTTATCACCACCCTTCTTATCACGAATTAGCAGGCTGGCAGGGGAGCAGCTTCGGAATGGTTTTGACAGGGCTGGGACATCATCTGCTTTCGTAGAGTCGTGTGAGCCGTTTGCGAGTGCATGCTCTATGGCCAGGCTTTCAGCGGATTCTCTAGCCTCATTCGGGGGGAGGACTCACCGGCCTTCTAAACGCTCAGTCGGTCAATTATTTCGGAACTTACGAAACGTCGTTACCTGGAAGGAGGATACATCACGCATAATACACGTCCCAACCTGAGCGTTTCCAGTGTGCTCGCTCAAAACCCTACACCCTCAGCCTTTAACGTGACGTGAAATAAACCCAAAAGCACCGAGGCCCTGTCTCAATGATATCAGCTGGAGCAGCGAAAGAAAATCCGGTAGTCGAAGGGGTCGAACACTCACCCACACACCCCCAGAAGCCTTATTTCGGGTTTGGGCCTTTTTGGGTTTGGCCTAGAAATCGTTCGAACGTAACACGTAAATCCTGAGCCCTAGACTGCAAGCTCAAGCACCATGCCCAATAAACCCAAGGCCATTAACAAAGCTCAAAGGCCTGCATTTTCGGCAGGCCTGAAACCCTAGATCAGACCCTAAACCCTAAACTCAACATAACAACAACAACAACAACAACAACAACAACAACAACAACAACAACAACAACAACAACAACAACAACAACAACAACAACAACAACAACAACAACAACAACAACAACAACAACAACAACAACAACAACAACAACAACAACAGCAACAGCAACAGCAACAACAACAACAACAACAACAACAACAACAACAACAACAACAGCAGCAACAACAACAACAACAACAACAACAACAACAACAACAACAACAACAACAACAACAAAAAAAAAAAAAAAAAAGGAAAAAGACCCTGGACTCAAGGGTTTCGGGTGGGTTCCAGCAGGTCTCATGCATCCATCACGGACTGCCGTGAAGGCCAGGGGCTTGGACCTTTCCCAGACCTCAAAAGATAGCCTTTCATGGCCGTCGGGCCATTATTTTACTTACTTTTGGGGGGGTTTATTAGGTTGAACTGAGACGTGAGGGCCTTCCGGGTTTCGGGGTTCAAGAACCACTACACCTTAAACCTGTCGAGCCCCTAAATCCTCAAGACACCCTGAATCCGTAGACCTTGAAGCTATTTAGGGCCTTCGGGTTAAGTTTCTGCTGGAGGTTGATGACTTAGGGTTCAGGATTGCGGGGGTGGGCTTCAGGGTTGCGGGTGCTTGCGCTTCGCAGGTTTTGAGTTGGCTTGAGTCTCAGGGCTTGGGGCTTACATCCGAATCTAAGCCCTGAATCCTAAACACTGAATCCGTAACTTACTACAGGGACCGACACGAGGGTTTGGCTCCAGGGCTGGCGGCTCCGGGATGCAGTCCCTAGTAGTAGAGCAGGTAACCTTTAACCTTTTTTGGGTATGTATTATAGTCCCTATATAATCCCTATATACCCCAAAAGGTTAACCTTTGGTTCCACATGACACCCGACAAGTAGGACTCAGCGTTTACCACACCCTTCCGGACCAGAGCTGAGGGGTCCTCCGGAGGTTTATCAAGTCAACTCAAAGGCCCGCATAGGGGTTTACCTGGACCCTAAGCAAGCTACCTTTTTAGAGCCCCCTAATCTGATTTCTTTATATGAGTCCCCAAAAGAGGTAGGTTATTTGGGGTTAAGGTAGGAAATTAATGAGGGCTGAGGAATGAGAGTTTGAAGCTCTAATCCTGTTCAGCAGCAAGAAGGTTGAGACCCTTCAAGTCCTTCGGCCCCATAAACCCCCTTACACCGCATAATATAGGAGCCTTACTGATTAAAATGTCGCTTTGGGGCCCTTTATACTATAATTATGATGAGGAACCCCCGAAGTAGTCAGGCCCCCATATTTGGATCCGAAATAACCCGAAGCCCTACGCCCTTAGCTGGAACCTAAAAGCCAGTTGTTTCCAGGCGCAGATTGCCTCTCAGTGCATGGCCCGGTCCTGAGATTGTTTTCACATAGGTGGGTTTAGCATTTTCGGTTCGGGTTTTGGCGTGTTTGATCGGGAGGTTTTGCCAGGCTTGCAGGATCCATGGTGACTGCAGGACAAGCAGCTCGAGAAGAATACTTACAATTACAATCATCATCATCATTTTCGCATGCAATCGGCAAACCCCAAGCAAGCGACCAAAATCAAATACAGAAACAAGCAAGTGCCCGAACAGATTCAGCACTCCGTCATGATGAGTGGCAGCAGACCAGGCACTGCTGAATGCTGGGCGCTTGCAGAGTAAGCGGCGACCTCGCACTCGCACGGGAACCGACCTCGCCCCAGCTGCATCCGCATTGCGAGCTCGATCACTGTGAATATGGGCCTATTTCGCTAGAGTCTACAGTGCCATGTTATAATCTACTAGAGTATGCTATAATAACCTAACATACAGCAAGAGTAGAATATGATATACGAGACAATGATATACTATAATAGTGTACTGTTACACTTCGGTAATCACCAGAGCCCCTGCCACATGCTCAGGCCAGCATGGCGAGTCCACAGCAAGAGGAGCCCGAGCCAGAGCGGCCGGCCTCTTTGTTCGCGTTAGATACCACACATGCAGCGTGTCGGGTTTTGGATTTAGAGTTTAGGGTGATGCTGTTTGCTTCTAAGCACAACCGTCAAGGCCATGATGAGCATCACTACTGATTTAGCTGTTGCTGGTTGTACTCGTGGTACAGTGCACTCGCATGATTGCCCGACTATCCAAGGCAACACCTGAGTCCTGGAAGTATTCCGGCGGAAGCCAGGAGGATGCTGCAGAGGCCGAGATAGATCAGAAGGAAACTAGGGGCCATGCCGGAAGCTCGAATGAAGCAGAAGGGCGAGGCGTAGGCCCCTTTTCAGGGCTCAATGGGTTCAGAGTTGAGGCTCAGGGTGAGCTTTGATTGTCGCGTAAACGATACCGATTTCGGATCTAGGGTGCAATCTCATCGCATGAGGTTCCCTGGAGTTTCTCTTGCCCTTGCAATGGGCAGGACTTGGACTCGCCGCCCCACAGAGGCACGTGGCATCCCTGGATAGTGGCTGAAGGATCTGGGAATTTCGGGGGCTGTGATCGCTTTGCTTCCGTGAATGCAGTGCAAGTGCCGAAGCAGAAGCTACAGAAAAGCTGGGAAAGTCCATAGGTACCAATGCTTAAATGTATCTCGTGGCTTGAGACGGCAGTGAAACGTCCTCCATCTGCTCGCATCCCGCACCATCTAATCTTCCATGGCCGGCAGGTGCCCTAACCCATCTTCCAACACCAAGAGCGCAGTCGCAGTGCAGTGTTGAAAAATATCGTGGCGCTACTGACCAGAAGCAATAGACCTGCCTATGACCGTACAATAACTCCTTGGCTACACAAAGATACTGTCATCCCCCGGGCAGCCAGTCCTCCACTCAGTCCAAGAAGATGGGCCTCGAGCCACATCCACAAAATACGCTTATGAAGCCCTGCACCTCTAATACCCAAAACCCCTAAGAATCCCAAACCCTAAACTCTCAAACCCCAGCACGCATCACCCCACCACCCTAAAGAGCCTAATTTAGGGGCCTTAATAATTACCGATAATATTTTGGGGGTTCCTTATTCCAAAATTGTAGCTTAATATACCCCAAAACCTTAATCTCATCATTAAGACCCCCTTTATTCTAGACCCCTTTACAAGGAACGCTTTAAAGGAACCCTTATTCTAATGACTATACAGCCCCTATATATATATATATATATATATACATACAGTGCTTGCAAGCGCAGGCCGCGACGACCTGGCCCACCCTTCTTTCAGTGAGGACTGGCGCCGCTTTCTAGGCTTTGAAAACTCTGCTGCTACTTGTAGGTTTAAGGTCCCCAAACCCTAAATCATTTGAGAACAAAGCTCTAAAGCCTGTACCCTAAACCCTAAAGCGCTAAACCCTCAACCCTAAAGTGCTAAACCCTAAACCCTAAACCTTATAGTGCTGGGCAAGGCCGTCGGATGTGAGGTGTTTCGGTTTGGGTTTCGAGACGCAGGCCCCTATATTGTAGGGGCTTTAATAATTACCTGTGCTCTTTTGGTGGCTATATACTTAGTATCATATCACCCAAGACCCTACTCCAATCAATTATTATAATACGGCCCCTACATTACCGCCTGGCACCCTTCATTTCTTCCAGCACATTGCATTGCAAATGGCCACACTTCGGCCCAATTCCTTCAAGCTTCCCCCTCGATCCAACACGCGTGTGTCGTTGCTGCCAACAGGAGATCTTCGACTAACTTTGCTGGTGACCCAAATTGGACGCGAAGGCAACTTTTGCGGCGTTTACGGGCCCCTTGTTTAGCAGCTTGCTTAGTTAACGTGAGACAGCCACCACCGTGGCCTCGGAATTGGAGGCCAAATCCCGAGCCAGCCGTGTTGATCCTATACCTCCAATTACAGGAGGGGGGTCTTTTGAGGCCCCAGGTTGCAGATTACACACTGAGCTACTCAAACCATCTCAAACCTACTCTTGGGCAGGCTCCCTAGACAATTTTATGCTAGGGCTTACAGCAAGAGCCTGCTTTCGTGCAGAAGCAGTTGAGAACCCTGTAAGTGTTGTGTTGATGCTCTGTGGCTCCGGGTATCTTCTTGCAGGTTGCAGGTTGCAGAAAATCGCATCCTTTCTTCGCAACTTGCTGTTTGGTTTCACACAAAGCCCTAAACCCTAGAAGAAGCCCTAGAGCCCCCATAGCCCTAAGCCCCTAAACCCTAAGCCCCACATCCCCCTCGGCCGACTGGGCCTTTGAAATCGGCCATTGAAGCTCCAGCTTCAGACGTGCTGCCTAGCGGGCAATAGACGGGTGGACCATGGGCTTGCACGAACACCGGGTTTAGGGTCTGGTTAGGGTTTAGGGTCTATGCTGTATGTAACCATGACGGCTTGTTGCTATCCGCCCGATGCAGTTTAGTCATACCATGACCATTGATCACAATTGCTACTAGTACTGCTTGAACGGGATTGCTGGGGCGATTATGACTTGCCTGCCGCCCTGCTCGCACATGCAAAAGCAGTTCGCTGGTTGCCCCCATGTAGAACCCAAAACCCCAAACCCTAAATCCCGACATATTATCAGCTGTCTATGAACCTTTGGATTGGAAGTTCAATGATGCTAAACCCTTAACCCTAAACTCTAGTTTAATGATTAGTGACTAAGATTAATCATATGGTTAATGCATAATATCATGTCAGCACCGATCGAAACTACCGCTGGCAGCTGTGGGCTCAAGGAGAGCCGAAGAGGCCCGAGACTCAGGCTTTGTAGGGTTTAGGGTCTACGGTATTCAGGATTAAGGTTTAGGGTATTACGGTTTATAGGGTTTAGGGTCTAGGCTATTCAGGTTTAGGGGTTCAGGGTTTAGGGTTTGGGGTTAGGGCCAGTTTAGGGTATTAAGGTCTAGGGTTTGGGGTTCAGGGTTTAGGGTTTTGGTGTCTGTTTTGTCTTACTTGTCTCAATATCGCATGCGGATGAAGCCTTCTAAGATCTCCTCCATACATGTGCCGCTGCATGGTATGTAACCCAAATGCGAAGCCGATGGCAACCCGGAGTCACGGAACCCCCAAGACCTGAAGCCAAAAACCTTAAAATACCCCATAACAACAAAATGAGCCCTATAGGCCCAAACCCTAACACAGATACCAATAACCCTATCACCCTATAGCCCCCAACCCTGCGTGTATAAGCCAATAGCCCCATAAACCTTAGCCCTTATAACCCAAAAAACTAAACCCTAAAGCCCTAAAACCCTAAACCCTAAAACCCTAAACCCTAAAACCCTAAAACCCTAAACCCTTAAACCCTAAACCCTAAAACCCTAAACCCAAAAACCCTAAAACCTAAAACCCTAAAACCCTAAAACCCAACAACCCTAAAGCCCTAAGACCCTAAGCCCAGAAGATGGCTCAGCATGAGCCTGATCTTGACTTCTGCGAGTATGAACGTGAAGGGGACGGCGAGGTCCGCCACGTTTCTCGGAGTGCAGGCGGTTTAGGGTTTGGGTTTAAGGGTTTGGGCTTTAGGGTTTGGCTTTTGTTTGTTGGGGTGCGGTTAGGTTATTGGGTTTAGAGTGTCGGATTTTGGTGTGGGGTTTCGGCCTCGTAAGGTTTGGTTTAGGATCTAGGTTTTTGAGCTTTGGTTTCGGAGCCGGAGCAAAATCTTCGAGACGATGTTACTGCAGTCCCAAAACCCAGAACCCAGACATCATGGTTCCTAAACCGAACCAAAAGTGAAAGACCGACTCGTAGAGAATGAAGCTTATCGGAGATCCGGCTGATGCTACAGGAAGGGCATCCCCCTAAGCTCACCCCCAAAACCCTAGTGTAGGGGTCGGAAGAGTTCCGAATCGTGTCTACATCTCATATCTGCTCGTCCCTCATACAAGAACTATACTGCAATCTACCCCAAAGCAGAGACAGTATAGCCGCCGAAACCCTTAAAGCCCTACACCGGACAAGACCCATTCCTGTAGACCCTAGCACACTAATGGGGCTTAATGAAAGGTACCATAATACGAGCACCAATTTACGTATTACAGAGCCCCATTATGTTAACTCGAAGCAAAATCCTTAACCCTAAACCCTCATAGAACCCGGAGAGGAACCTTAGATTGTGGCAACAAAGTTTCTTAACGAGAACCCTGCAGAGTCCGTTCTGAAGGTATCGGAGTAATTGGGCAGTTCGGTTCGCTTCAGCATTTCAGCAACTGCAGTATAGGGTTCAGGGTTTGCGAGGGTCTAGGGCTTGTGGGACTTAGATGGTTTGGGGTTCAGGATATTTCTTGGGCTTCCTCATTACAGTTATGCTACAATCTGCTCCAAAAGCCTATTCTAATTGCTAAGGCAGTTACTTTAGCTTTCTCATACGGGCCCGAAGCCCTCGAAGTGTATTTCGAATTTACGTGCTCCCCGATGTTTTTGAATCATGACGGGGTTCATGGAGGTTCAGGCTTGGTTGAGGTATGGGAGGGTCTAGGGGGCAATCCGCTTTGTGAGGCCCTCAGTTGTGGATTTCCTTAAACCGTTGCACTCTCCGAGGTTTTGCAATGCCTCTGCGAGTGCACGGACTTTGACAAGCTTGTTGATGACTACCTGCATCTCGTCCCGTGCAAGTTTCCCGGAGTTTACATGGAGATGCTGAAAATATGGCCCTTTACTAATTTACATGTATATGCACATTTACATGGGTGCTTGAAGTGTAAGACTGATTCAACCCATCTGTTCTGGCTAGCTAAACAGCCTGCTTCGAAAGACTCGGAGTTCCCCTAAAATCTAAATCTCCAAAAACCTGAAGCTCTGAACCTAAAGCCATCTGAAACCCTAAAGCCCTTATCCCCGAAGCCCTTACTAAGCCCAAACCTAGAGGCCAAGCCTCCTTGCCCGGAAGCCCTAAGCCGATTTACCAACTTGAAGCTGCTTGACCCGAGTCTACCCCCGGGTATATGTAAACAAGTACATACACATGTTTAATGTTTACATACTGATATATGTTTACACATGCAGGCATGTATGCATGTATGCATGTATGCATGTATGCATGCATGCATGTATGTATGTATGTATGTAATGCAATGTAATGCAATGCAATGTAACATAATGCAACGGAATGTAATGGAATGCACGTACGTATGTATGTATGTATGTACGTAGGTGCTACACCAACAAACCAACCAATGTGTTTGTACGCATATATTCATAGTACTTGCACGTACTTGTACTTAGTATGTATGTCTACGTGTACGCATCTATATGTCGAGCTGTTTATACCTAGGTGTGCTTATTTTGTATTTCAGTTACAACTTGCATTCATCACTGTACTTGTATCCGAACCCCAACAAACTTGGTGATTGCCAGAGGTACAGCCATCTACAATGATGCCTTGGTAGGAAATTTAGTAATTAGCGGCTCTTAGCTTAGAGCCGTGTTCTGTGTTTTCAAGAGACTCTTTCAGGAATTCGCTTTGTCGTGCGCCCAAGTCGTCGGTTCCTCCCCGAGAACGCCTGCGGCGGGTGCCTAGGCGAAAGCAGCACGGTGCTAGGGTTGAGACGAGGAGTTGTGCCTGTGTGCATACTTACTGACTTACATCTACATGAACTATATATATATATATACATAGGGATATATTTATATTCACATTTGCTCATGCTTGCGCGCACATACCAACTGGGGTACCTTTGAAGGTACTTACTTACGTACTGACATACGGGTACTTGGATACTCTTGTGTTGCTGGTTCCTCAATTTGACACTTTCATATGTGTGTTGCATACATACACTTACGTATTCCAGACATACATGCATACACCTATTACTCACGCACACCTACACCCACATGCGCTTGTCCATATGCTAGACAGTTCGCAGTTCGTGGCTCAGCCGTCGGGTGGATAGGTTGTGAAAGGGCAGTTCGCGAGCAAAGGCGCAGTGGTAGCTGAGTTAGTTCGGTTAGGCTGACACCAAAAAGGGACTTGATTACACGCTTAGTCGCAGAAGAAATCACGAAGAGCTTCCCCTGTGTCAAAGCCGTCACGCTTCAGCTCAGGTGTTTTTCACAGCCTCTGATCGATGTCGCATTCCATGGTTTGGGGGTGCCCGGCGCTTGAACGCCGGTGCTTTGGCTGCGCCGGTGATGCTGCTCCTGCTGCGGGCGGTTCTCCGGCTGTCCACCTACGTGGCGCTGCTGCACATTGAAAGCGCATTAGATTCCGAACCCTGAGAGTTTCTGTGTAGTTGCTTCTCGTTTCTTGTACTGTACCTGTATAAACCTCAATACTCTGAACATAGAGAGCGCGAGAGAGGGAGAGGGAGACAGAGAGAGAGAGAGAGGGACACAGAGGGACAGCAAGGGAGAGAGAGAAGAAAGAAAGAAAGAAAGCAAGAGAGACAGGAACAGACAGAGGAGGGAGAGAGTCAGGGAGGGAGGAGAGACAGAGGCGGTTGCTTAAAGGGTGCAGGAGACATTGGGCATCGAGGTCTTTGATCTGAAAGAAATGCAACTTTAGGATATTTGGGGCCTAGTCTAGGGTCGGGTAGGTTTTCTGGTTTATTGGTTCAGTGTTTACGGTTTTGGGGTTTTAGGGTTTGGGATTTTCCGGTTTGGCTGTAGGCCTTGTCCAGAGTCAGGGCTTTGGGCTTCGGTTGCCCCCAAACCTCAAGCAGCAGCTTCGCGGCACTCGAGGTTAAGGCTGTCTTGTGGGTTTGTACCGTAGGATACCTGTACTATTTTGGAGGCTCCTTATTGTAG